CAGTGGTAATGTTATTTTCCCTCGTAAGAGTAACATCCAAGAAACGCTCATAATTCCCTAAATCCAGGTCCACCTATAAATTTGAAAAGTCAGGTGCAAGACAGCACAAACACTGAAAGTGTAAGATTAAAATTTATATGTGCACCCAAGAGGGCATACCTCTCCACCATCATCAAGCACAAACACCTCACCATGCTCAAAGGGAGACATAGTACCAGCATCTGTGTTTAAGTATGGGTCTGTAAAAACACAGGAAATAGACAATATTAAAAATAGTGGAAGATCCCAAGTTCCTAACTCTGCAAATGGGAATGTCATCGTAGCAAAGCCAATCCAGCACAGTAAAGAAAAGGCACTAAAACGTTACACAATATCACATGTTTATTTATCCTCAATGTTCCGACACAGCATCCACATTTGGCCCAAAAGCTACCCTGAAACCCAAAAGGGTGCCACCTTTTATAAACAATTAAAATGTTCTAAAAAACTAGTACTAGTTAGATGAAAGACCTCCGCAGCTTGACATGAGTTGGACAATTACTCAATGCGGCAAGAGCTACTGATTCTCCAGAATCACAGTACCTTTTGGGCAGTGACAACCGTGACTCTAACTATCTTGAAGGCTTAATCAATAACTGGAACTCCCAAAAGGAGCAGTCGTTTATTTCATTCGTTGATTGATTCGCCCATCCCAAATTCTGACCAGAACAAGGAATACGAACGCAACTTAGCATGCGATCTCCTTAGTAGCCCCTTTGGCACCCAAAATTGAGGAAATAAATAAGAGAAATCGTCATGAAATCATGGGAAGGCGCACAAACGCGGCATTTTCACCTGACCAAGAAGTCAGGGAAGCGCAATTTCACATGGGTCAGGGTCGCAAGGTTTTCTAGGGCCGAGACTCTAAATAGCCAAAATCGAAGTTGGAAGGGAGACGCCCCCTAGTAGATGATGAGGACAGACCCGCCCGCGACACCGCAGCGACGTGAGGCGCGAGACCCCAACCCTGTGCGGGCCGCGCAGAAGTGGGCGAGAAGTGAGAAAACATGAAGCGGGAAGGGCGGGAGGGGAAGGGATGCGGACCGATCTTGATGCAGGTGACGCGCAGGCCACAGGACTTGAGGACGACGCCGACACTGCTGGCGGTGACGCCCTTGCCGAGGCCGCTGACGACGCCGCCGGTAATCAGCACGTACTTGGTCGGCGCACGGCCCTCCTCCTCCGCCGACGACGCCATGGCCGGAGGCAAGGAGGGAGCGCGGGAGGCTGGGTTGGCTCGGAGGAGGTATATTCCGGGAGGGAGAGAGGCGGGGAGGGGAGGACGCTCCGGTTCCGGTGGCAACTGGCAGTGTCGTTGCTGTTGCTCCTCCTCCTCGCTGGGTTTCTTTCTTTCTTGGGGTGCGGCTGGGTGTGCAGTGCTGGCAAATCCCACGTATGGTGCGTGTGTGTGTGTGTGATTCTTTTGTTTTGTATGATCTGGATGGATCTGTCATGCTATCAGCTCGTAGTCGTAGATCGGGTAGTAGTTGCCCCTGCAAGTGGACAAGTAGGGTGATGAATATTATGGAGTAACGGCATCTTCAACGCGGACATTTTTTCTTTCGCAAATCTTCAACACGGATCTGAAACGATCCGACCATGTTTAGACGAATCCGCGGATACGGGAATTAGCATTCAATCCTATACCTTAAATATTCGTCTTTATTAACATAAAAATTTGCTAGCAATAGCCTTCCGCCAAACATGTGCTAAATAGTCTCGGGTGAGCATAATTTTAGTAGGTCGAGTGGAGGAAGAAACGAAAAAGCACGTCAAAACGTATAATACCTCTAACCCTAGGTGGTTAGGCAAACTCTTCCCTGCAAACTTCGTCGGCAAGCCTATGGACTTGCCTTCCCTCTGCCGCTGCTCCGGCGGTTAGTGACAGGGAAGGGAATTCTCGTGTCTCCGATTCGGTTAGTAGTTTAGGTTAGGGTTTTTTAATCCTCGCAGGTGCGGTGCTCGGACGGATGGCGCCGCTACTTCTCTGAGTTTGTTTTTCGGACTTCGATCCTTCTCGAGTTCATCCGTCTGGACGTAGTCGACGGAGCTCCGGCGTAGATTCCTGCCGTCTCTTTGGGATGGTAAGGTTAGGGTTTCTCGTCTCGTGGCAATATTTGGTGTCAGGTGTTTCAGATCTATGCAAGGGTTCAGCGGCGATGACTGCGGCTCCAAGGCGCTAGCCCTTAGGGGCACGTGCATGAAGACTTCCCGACTGTCATCGATAAGGTCAAGCCGGCTCTGGTAGGGGAGTGGCGATAGCGGCTTGTTCTGGCGGCAGTAGTGGTTGTTTGAGGGTCTTGAAATCTCAATGTAATTTTTATTATGTTTGAAATGCTTTGTATTTCCGCTGAACTTTGATAATAGATTTGGATCATTTTAAAAAACGCGTCATTGCTCATGCACCTTCCATCATGCTCATGCTCATGCACAGGCTTTCGCCATGTGTTTTAATCCTGCAAAATCACCTCCCGCCAAACAAAGCAATATGAAATAACATCCTTCCACCAAAGCCTACAGCAGCGCTTCCCCCTTTCATCATCTGGACGTAGAAATAAAAACGGAGCAACAGCGGACGGGGCTGAGTGCTACTATATCTGTTTCCATTTTTTTTTTGCAAAAATGCAAACGAATATAAAAACTTCGGAAATGAATACGGAAATAAATGCTATCAGAAACAGATACGGAGCAAATACAGAGCGGACACAAAAACAAAAATGTGCGTTGACTGGAAGTTAAAAACCCCTTGAATCATAGAGAAATACAGAGAAAAACAAATAAATTTAATGAATTGGTAACATGGCTACAAATGATATGATTATGTTAGCAACTCAGCATAGTATTGCAGTAGTACTGGATAATTGTGTATATGGTCTAGTTGACTATGTGTGGTAGTAGAAGTTGGGATTCAAATGATCCATTTTGCTAATTGTGTCATTATGTGTTGTTTGGTGGTTGGGCTACAATGCAGCCATAAGGCAAGTTCAAAAAAAAGCAGCCATATTCACGGAAACGGAAAGTTTTGTTTCCACGTCTATTTCATCGGAAAACACCATTTCGTTTTTTCGTCTCCGCATAAAAAAAAATTCATTTTCACTCCCGTTTTTCAAATTTCCATTTTCGTTTTCATTTTTCTTCGGGAAAACGGAAAATCTCCACTCCATTTTCATCCCTATCTCGACGAAGAGGGTATGTGGTGGCTTTGATTGGCAAGTCGGATGACGACCGCAAACATCCTGCTAGTTTGCTTCCGGTTTGCAGGACTTCGGACAAGCAGGCACGTCCGCGGATATATATGAGTCTGAGCCGGATGGCATAACGCATCCGGGCATCTCGGTCCGGACGTTTCTCAGCGATTTAAAGGGTCCGTGTTGGGGATTCCCTAAGTAGACATTTATTATAAGCTTTGTTTGAAATTAATGGTGGTTTCTGGTTAGGAAACGTTATCGGTGCTCCAAGGGCTCCATAGGGACGACCCAAATCCTAGACGTATAGGTATTGATGCGGGCAATTAGAATAAGGTGGTAAAGGTGTAGGCATCTTAAAATCCCACATATGCCCTCTTTGATCTAGGAGAACATTAATGTCTCATGTTTCTCCTGGTGGTGTGGCCACAATCTGGCATGTTGTAGACTCAGGTGGCTGGTGACATTCCTTGAGTGGCGTGGTTGTGAAGTGGTGCGACGATACAATCGTCGTATGAGGTGGTTGATGGTGTTACCTAGGTAGCATGGAGGCGGCTATTATGGGTGGTTTCCAGGTGATATTGGGCTTGTCCACATCTATGGCATGACGCCTTGATACGTTTTTAAGGTATCTATAATTTTTTTATTGTTCCATACTATTATAGTACCCATCTTTGATGTTTTATATGCATTATTATGCTATTTTATATCATTTTTGGGACTAACCTATTAACCTACTGCCCAGTGTCAATTGCTTTTTTCCTATAATTTTGTCTTTTATAGAAAATCAATATCAAACGGAGTCCAAACGAAACGAAACTTTTTGACGATTTTTTTCTCGGACCAGAAGACACCTAGGAAGCTTCGGTAGGAGGCCAGAAGACCCACGGGTGAGCCACAAGCTCACCAGGCGCTCCCTAGGGGGCGCCCTATGAGCTTGTGGGCCCCCCATGGCTCCTCCAACCCTAATCTTAGCTCCATAAATACCCAAATATTCCCCGTATACCAGAGGGCACACCAAAAATACTTTTTCTGCTGCCGCAAGCTTATGTCCTCGTGAGATCCCATTTTGGGGACTTCTCCAGTACTCTACCGGAGGGGATTCGATCACGGAGGGCTTCTACATCAACCTTGTTGCCCCTCCGGTGATGTGTGAGTAGTTTACCACAGGCCTACAGGTCCATAGCTAGTAGCTAGATGGCTTCATCTCTCTCTTTGATCTTCAATACAATGTTCTCCGCAATGTTTGTGGAGATCTATTCGATGCAATCTTCTTTTGCGGTGCATTTATTGAGATCCGATGAATTGTGGATTTATGATCAAATTATCTATGAATATTATTCGAGTCTTCTCTGAACTCTTTTATGCATGATTAAGATAGCTTTTGTATTTCTCTCTGATTTATTGATTTGGTTTGGCCAACTAGATTGATTTTTCTTTCAATGGGAGAGGTGCTTTGTTTTGGGTTCAATCTTGCGATGTCCTCACCTAGTGAGAGAAGGGGTAGCGAGGCACATATTGTATTGTTGTCATCAAGGATAAAAGGATGGGGTTTATTTCATATTGATTGGATCTATCCCTCTACATCATGTCATCTTGCTTAAGGCGTTACTCCGTTCTTGTTAACTTAATACACTAGATGCATGCTGGATATCGGTCGATGTGTGGAGTAATAGTAGTAGATGCAGGCAGGAGTCGGTCCACTTGTCACGGATGTGATGCCTATATTCATGATCATTGCCTTAGATATCATCATAACTTTGCGCTTTTCTATCAATCGCTCAACAATAATTTGTTTACCCACCATATGCGTTCTTTCAAGAGAGAAGCCTCTAGTGAAAACTATGGCCCCCGGTCTATTTTTATCATATTATTTTCAGATCTATAAAACCAAAAACCCAAAAATACATTGCTACAATTTATTTATCTTTACCTTATTTTGCACTTTTATTTATCTTTTATACCTATCTCTATCAGATCTCATCCTTGCAAGTAACCATGAAGGGATTGACAACCCCTTTATTGCGTTGGGTGTAAGTATTTGTTTGTTTGTGTAGGTGCTATCATTGGAGACTTGTGTGTTCCTCCTACTGG